CAGGTGCAGGTGCATCGGGCAAGGGGGTATGGCTGTGAAATGGGGTGTGAATTTGGAGTGGGAGGTGTGGGATGGGCGGGCTGACGCTTGCCGGGAGAAATGTTTGCCAACGGAGAGATGGCGTTTCTCCACATTTCTGTAATTAGAGCCGCACTGCAAACACAGCCGGCGGGGGAGAGACGGGGCTCTCGCGTCCCCAAAGCTGCTTGCAGCCACCAGGGCTGTCCCCAGACAGGCTCGGGTGTCCTGGCTGCCTGGCACAGTTCATGCCCCTGCTTTGCCCTTGCTTGCCGGGAGAAATGTTTGCCAACGGAGAGATGGCGTTTCTCCACATTTCTGTAATTAGAGCCGCACTGCAAACACAGCCGGCGGGGGAGAGACGGGGCTCTCGCGTCCCCAAAGCTGCTTGCAGCCACCAGGGCTGTCCCCAGACAGGCTCGGGTGTCCTGGCTGCCTGGCACAGTTCATGCCCCTGCTTTGCCCTTCACTTTTGGAAGATGCTCCAGGGATGTGACAGGGGAGGGAGAAATTGGGGTTGTAAATGGATTTTGCAGGGGGAAGGATGCTTCTTGTCCTGGCTCCCTCCTCTGCCCCACCACTCCAAACCCTGACGTATTTTTCCAGGCTTTCACCACTGCACTGTTTGTTTGCTAAGTATAAAAAAAAAAAAAAACCAAAACCAAACCAAACAACTGTTAAGTGTGCAGCCAAAATTAACCCTCATCAGCCTGGGCTTTCCGCCACACCCAGGGGAGGCCCCATGGGAGGCTGCAAACCTGGGAAGGACTCAGTGACATTAAACCAAGTCACGGACGTTGTTTCCCGGCAAGAGCCATTTCCCACTCTGAAGTGGCAGGAAAAGCCATGGGGATTCGGTTCTGGGATGTGGCACGCTCGGTTCACAGCAGCCACACTGGCCTCCTGCCTGTCCTTGCCATATGACAGGGGAAACTGAGGCATGGGGCAGGCTCTTGGCTCACCCCGCAGTCCTTGGGGCCGGGAGGATGGATGGGGCGAGCAGGCGGCTGCAATAACTCCTGGCGATGCTGCAGGGAAAGCCGGGGAAGGGCAGGATGCGGCCACAGGGTGCTGGCGGCAGCTGCAGTGGGGTTGTTTGGCTGGAAACTCTCCTGAGCCTGGGGGGAGAGGAGCTGAGTGCCAAGGGCTTGGCCACACGCTCCCCCATCGTTCGGGGCTGCGGCACTTTCAGTCTGCGGTGATTCTCTCTCCGCCACCTGCGAGGCCTCGGCGGGGACGGTGTCAGCTCAAGGGGGACCCCTGGGAGTGGGGGGGGTCCCCACCAGCATGGGGACATGGGCAGGTGGGGTCCTGCTGCTGAGGCGCCCCAAGGAAGCGGGAAGGGGGGGGGATGCTGCCCATGCAGGGCAAGGGCTCTGTGGGGCTGGGGAGGGGGGCAGCCCAATTTGCACCCCCAGTGAGGGTGGGACCCAGCGGGGCGCCTGGTGCGATGTGTCCACAGGCACGGGTGGCACCACCCGGGTGCCTGATGCTTGATGGAGGATGGATGGGACATCGGGAGGGTGGGGGTGTCATTTGGGCTGGACCTGGTCCCTGTCCCCCTTGGTGGGGATTTGCAGCTAAGCCATGGGGCTGGGGAGACTCTGAACATGCTCGGGGGTGGGGGGGAAATGACTCCGGGTCCCCCAGTATTTCCAGGCGCTCCTTGTCCCCGGGGAAGGGGAATGCGAGGAACGCGGCCCCGTGCACCCTGCCTGCTCTTGCCCGGCCACCCGCCTGCTAAGAATAGACCTGGCTTGGCTGGGCCCCCGCCAGCGCAGAGGGGCCGCAGGGTGTGGGAACCCCCCCAGCCACCTTCCCACAGCGGATAATGAACATTAAAAAAATGGAAAACGGGTTTCTGCGGTGCCCAAAGGGTCCCTGAGCCAGCAAAGGGAACCCTGGGTGTTTCTTGCTTTAAAGTTGTGAGATTTTAAAGCAAATCTCCTCTCCGGGAGCCTCCTGCACAGGTAGGGTGGTGCAGGGCAGCCCCCCACAAGTCTGGGGTACCCGCTGCTTCCTGAGCTCCCCTTTGCGGGGTTACATGAATTGAGGGGGGGATCTCCTCTTTTTTCTGCTCTTTTTTTTTTTCCCCTCCTTTTTTTTTCCTCCTTAGGGAGTAATTTCGCTAAGCCTCCTAATTTCAGCAGAAAGCATGATGCAGGAGCCAGAAGGCAGCAAAATCTCTCCAGATGTTATCGCAACGGGGAAGGGAAATCATCCTCGAAGCCGTGGCTGCGTATTTCCAGGCGCTCCTTGTCCCCGGGGAAGGGGAATGCGAGGAACGCGGCCCCGTGCACCCTGCCTGCTCTTGCCCGGCCACCCGCCTGCTAAGAATAGACCTGGCTTGGCTGGGCCCCCGCCAGCGCAGAGGGGCCGCAGGGTGTGGGAACCCCCCCAGCCACCTTCCCACAGCGGATAATGAACATTAAAAAAATGGAAAACGGGTTTCTGCGGTGCCCAAAGGGTCCCTGAGCCAGCAAAGGGAACCCTGGGTGTTTCTTGCTTTAAAGTTGTGAGATTTTAAAGCAAATCTCCTCTCCGGGAGCCTCCTGCACAGGTAGGGTGGTGCAGGGCAGCCCCCCACAAGTCTGGGGTACCCGCTGCTTCCTGAGCTCCCCTTTGCGGGGTTACATGAATTGAGGGGGGGATCTCCTCTTTTTTCTGCTCTTTTTTTTTTTTCCCCTCCTTTTTTTTTCCTCCTTAGGGAGTAATTTCGCTAAGCCTCCTAATTTCAGCAGAAAGCATGATGCAGGAGCCAGAAGGCAGCAAAATCTCTCCAGATGTTATCGCAACGGGGAAGGGAAATCATCCTCGGTTTAAAGGTATCTTGTAAAACATTGCGGCTGGCTTGGCAGAGCCCCCAGGGCACCAGCAGCCCTTCCTTCCCCCAAAAAAGCTTCACCTGAGCCAACCCCTCCACGGCCCAGCAGCTCCATTTGGGGTCAAGGTAGGACCTTCAGTCTCCCCCTGAGCTGGGCAGGGCATAACCTTGCGTCTCAGCCCCATCTCCTGGGGGCCACCCTGGTGGAGGATGAGGTAGCCTGGCGTCCAGCCCCACCCCTTCTGTCGCATGGACCTTGGACCCGTGGTGAAGGTAACCTGGTGGCCAGCCCTGCCTTCTGGCTACACCGTGGGCTTGGCTTGTCTCTGAGCAGGAGGCTACAGCTCGGCGCACCCATCGCTCACCCTTGTAGCAGTGTCCATTCCAGGACAGAGTCAGCACCTAATGTGGATTCTCTGACGTCTAATTAGGGCTGAGCTTGTGTTGCAGTCCCTAAGTGAGAGTGTTCAGTGTGGCTCTTTTTTTTTTTTTTCTCTCCAGCGAGCTATTTTCATTAAACTTGTAGGATCTTGGAGCCCTCTTTTCCCCCACTAATGGGGCAAAAAGTAGCCAGGGGGCTCAAAATTACCGGTGGGGAGCTGAGCTGGATGGAGCACACCTGCACCAGCCTGCTTTTCCAGGCTGAAAATATACTTGGCTTCAAACCCAGCTCTCACCGTGCCAGGTCTCTGCTCCGCAAGCTTTGCACTGCCGGGAAGGGGGGGAGAGGAGGGTGCCCGGTGTGCTGGGATATAAAGCAGACACATCAGGATACGGCCATGGGAAGAACACAGAGTGAGCACAGGCGTCCGGGACGGCTGCTTCCCGGGTCGGTGGATCATGGCAGAAAGACGAGCGGTCGGGGTTTCACCTCCCCGTGGGTGTGCTGTGCTGGGAGGAGGATTGAAAGCAAACACAAGTGCAAGCGTGGGCGGGCAGGCACCTGCCTTCTGCTCCTCTACCGGGTGCAGTGAGCCTCTCCCGGGCCTCAGTTTCCCCATGTAAGACATGACCGAGGGCAGAGGCCATCAGGTGGGAGGGGGAAGGGTGGATCATCCCAGATCCCCTCATTTCCCCTGCTGCTCCGGGCTGCAGCAGATCGCGGCTCTTTAAGGCTGCAATAATCCCCAGCCTGGGATTAGTTTTGCACCTAATCACTGGCAGAACAAATACGAAGTTTTATTTACAGAAGCAGAAGAAAGACAGGAGGGGAAAAAAAGCCTGAAGCACGGCTGATCCCAAGATAATCAGGAGCTGGAGGATGGGAGGCGATCGCTGACCTCGGAGCCCCCCCGGCTCTTACGTAAATGCATGTCATTCCCATGCTGGAACCACAGCAGCCACAAGCTCCAGCCCTGTCCCAGCATGGGCTTGGCGACCACCCCCAACCCTTTGAACAGTTCAGGCCTGGACTTTGGGGGTTTCTGGCCCCGATTTATCCCCCTCCTTAGGCACGTGCTCCATGGTGAACCCACGGGCTGTCAGCTGCCATGGGAGCCATGGCTTAGGGGAGGATGGGGATGCTGCAAGGCAATGCTGAGCTTTCATGATGGGGATGGGGAGGTTGGGTGCTGCAGGTGCATTGCCCCAAAGCCATGCTGGTCCCCAGGGGTTTGTAGTTGCACTGGCTTGGGGTGGCAGCTCTTCCACTCCAGAGCCCTGTCCCACTGAGATCTGAGCCCCCCCGCAAGAAGGAGCTGAGCTGCTGCTCTGGGGTTGACAAGACATGGGTTTATTTTTCATCCATGCAAGTGAACAGCCCAGCAGTGGGCAAACCAGGGGTGGGAATGTGCTCCATCCCTTCCCAAACTGCCCTTTGTCACTTCAAGTCCCAGTGGCTTTGCCCACAGGTTGGAGATGGCTGGTGGGTGCCCAGGCTGGACCAGCTCCCAGACCTGGGTGCCAGGGCAGCCCGTGATGGCTCCGTGCCCGCCGGTGCCTGAATTTCTCTTCCCCTGATGCAGACGTTGACAAATAAATAGCTCTTTTCTGCTTTGGCTCTTGCATAGTGGAAAAAAATGTCTGACCTGATTGGAGAGAGAAGTCCCGGGCTGTGCAAACCCATGGCTTCCTTGGCAAATGTGCCCATGACATCGCTGACAGCCTGTCCAAATGCCCATGCTTGCACCCTGTCCATGCTCCCCCGCTGATGGCTGCCTTATTTCAGTTCCATTTCTGAGCTGGATTTGAAGGCCTTTTTCCTGGCTGAGAAGAACTTGAAGCCCAAGAAGATGGTAGTGATCACGAAGATAAGTGCCAGGGCAAGCAGGACCCAGCTGCCTGCTGTGGCTTGACTGCTGGTCAGGGACATGCCCAGGAAATCAGTTCGGCTGGAGCTGGCTTGGTCTGGAATGGTTGAAAAATGGAGAAATAAGGGACATGGTTGGTACTGGTGGCTCTGGACTGGGGTGTGTTGGGTTCACCAGCTCTCCCTTTGCTGGTCTTTTGGATGCCATGTCCCCTTTAGACTCAGATCCATGGGAAATCAAGGAGAAGCATCCAAACACCCTGTGGTTTTTGGGGTGGCCAAGGGGCATCGAGACAGCTCCATCTCTCCCACATGCCCCATCCTGGCCCTGGTGAGGGCTGAGCTCTGGCCCATCACAGAGTCCTGCATACCTGCGTAAGGAGTCCAGCTGTACTCGGGCCAGCCCAGGACCTCCCCGTTCTTCTCGTTCTCCTTCACCAGCCATTGCATGAGTGGCTCAAAGTATCTCATCAGGGCATCAGCTGACATGTTGGGCTGCCCTGTGATGAGCTTCATGGCTTCGGGCCACGGCTTGCTGAAACCCAGCTTCAGGGCATCCCTGTGGCAGAAGAAATCAGCTCCAGTGGGTTCCCCATTGTCATCTTGGTCACCAGCCCTTCCCCTTATCCCCAGGGCTTGAGGATCCTGGGATCAGCAGCCCTGGGTGCAGCCTGTGCCCCCAGCACCCCAGGGCTGCCAGCCCAGAGCACAGGGAAGGAGGTTTTGCTTGGGGGAAAGGGAGGGCTTGCATGGATTAAAGCCCTCCAGTGACTCCAGCCTCCTGCAGAGCAGTCCCTGGGCGAAAGGGTTAATTTTGCAGGTGCTTTTCTTGAAGCAAGGGGGGGGTGGTGTTTTCCCTAAGGAACAGGGGGCTGAAGAGGAGGAGGAGGAGGGAGGGAGCCTTCCACCTGCCAGGGTCTCAGCTACCATCTAGTGGCTGCTTTTGCAATCACAGCCCCAGCACCCAGCCCAAGGTGCCCTTGCCCGGGGACCCCCCCCGCCTGCACCCCACGGCCAGGGCCCAGAGCATCCCATGCTGGGGGGCAGGGAGGGGATGGATGACCAGGGGCTGCATTGCCTTCTGTCTTGCTGGGCTGGCTTTAAGGTATTTGAGGATATAAATATCTTGGCTCTGCCCTGCCAAGAGGGGCACCTACCCCAAGATCTTCCCAGCCTCCTTGGACTCGTAGATGTCACACGTGTGCAGGGGACCCGTATGGTTGGCTGCCGCGCAGAGCGCCTGGTGGAACTGGAACTGGATCACAAAGCTGACGAAGTACCTGGGGTGGTGGTGGAGAGGGGTGAGGACACAGAATGGATGGACCCTGATGGTGGCTGTGCAAGGGAGGATGTGGTCCTCCTCATCCCCTGGTTGCACCCTCCCAGCTGGAGGAGCATCATTGGCTTTGGAGTTACAGCTGCATCAACTCAGTCCAATCTGCTAAAGCCATTTCTCCTTTAACGTGTTTTATGGCTGCTTGGGTGGATGAGCCCATCCTCCTCAGACAGGGAGAAATTCCCCCGAATTCAGCCTTCCTCTCCGAGGCTTTGTCAGGGTCCTGAGAGATGCCCAGCACCCTCTGGATGGTACCACTGAGTATTCCACCAGCCACAAAACAAGGCACCATCACTGGCATCTGAACCGGAGATCCTGCTTCTCTGTCCAAGTGGTGTCCATCCCGCCCCAGCCCTGCTTACTCACCTGATGTAGGGGACGTTGGCAGGGATGTGAAACTTTGCCCCGGGGTCAAAGTCATCTTCAGACCTTGGCGCTGGCGGGCACAAGCCCTGGTACTTCATCCTGGGCCAGAGAGGGAGAGTTAGCCCAGCATGGGGAGGAGCAGGTGGGGTAAGCTGGGAGGGGACACAGTGGGTTGTGAGGACAGGTTGAGGGATTATGTATCCCACCATGTCCCGTTACAGCCAACTGGACCACAGGGAGAAAACAAGCAGTGGGATGATGGTCAAGGCCCTTGCACCAGAGAGGCATCTGAATTCAAGCACACCTGAGATTCCACCACTGCTGGTTGTATTCATCCTCCTTGATCCTCCCATCAAACACCTTCCAGCGCCACTGGTCCATGAGGTATCCGAAGGGTAGGAAGGCGATTTTGTCCAGAGCGATGCTCATCAGGTAGTTAATGTCACTTTCTGCCCAGGGTGTGAAGGTGTGAGCAAGGCAGTACTGTACCCACCTCTCCACCCCTCATGGGTCATTCTGTCCAAGGACAGGGTGTCCCCACCAGGTCCTGTCCCCTCCATGCATGCAAAGCTACTGTGCATGTCCCTGACCCCCTCCACCCTGCCCAGCCCATCCTGACCCTCTGCATTTCCAGCTGTCCCCAGCAACGCCCCCATCTTTGCTGTGTGGTGCTCCCCTGCCAGCTCACCTTTGTTGTTTGTGACTTGGTCCAGCAGATGGATGTGGTGCAGGTGCTTGGGGGTGGAGACGGACAAGGCAATGACATCCCCGATGGCCTCGTGGAAGCCAGGATTGGCCCCATCACGGAATGAGATGGGCTGATCCATGTACTGCAGGAAGTACTGGACGTGGCCCATCTCATGGTGCACTGTGATTAGGTCATCCATGTTCACCACGGTGCACTGCTTGATCCTGGACCAGATCATGTGGGATGGGGGAAGAAGGGAGGGCAGCACTGAGGTGAAAATCCCCAGGAATGATCACCCCCCCTTGAGACATTTTTCCCTTTGTTCTCCCTTTCCGTGTGCCCCCACCCCATATCTGATGCTGGGCCAGGCTGGCCCTACTCCATTGGGTTGGTCTCTTTTCTTCTGTATCTCCTGCTGCCTCTGCCCGTTCCCTGACCTTGTTCATCGGCTTTTCCATTCTCCATTGCTGGACAGAGAAGGCATTGATTGCCCTCTATCCACCATGGGGGCTCCTGTCAGTAATGCCCTCATCTTGGGTGCCAGTGGCAATGCCAGAGTGGGGCTGCCACAGCCATAGGACAACAGGCACTGTGGTGGCATCAGGCCATGTGCCCTTATTCTACCAAGACATTGCTATCTCCCTCAGCACCACATCAGCTGAGGCCACCACTTGCTCCCCGTGGGCACCTGAAGTCCTTGCGGTTGTAGAAGTCCCAGGCCGAGGCATGACACACCACCTCGCGCCCATCTGATGGCTTTTCGATCATGGACTTCTCCCAGAACTCCTGCGGCATGGGGATGAGGCCCAGAGAGGTAAAGAAATTGTCCGACTCTTGAAACATCCTCTTGGGTGTCCAGCCCTGGGGAGAGAGCAGACAGAAGACCTGGTGAGGGGCAATGAGGGATGCTAGGGGTTCTGGGGGCTGGGAAGAATAGGAGGCCAGGGACAGCCTTGTTCCTCTGTGCAGGGGAGGTCTCTTGGGGGCAGCTAGAGCTGGATCCAGCCCTTGGCATATCCAGGTGGGGAGAGAATATGGATGAGCCATGGAGGTTTTTGGCAGCATCAGAGCAACATGGGCAGTGGCAATGGCCAAAAGATGCTGGATCCCAAGGGGCTTCCCCAGAGCAGCCTGGAAAAGCACTGACCTGTTTTTTCATGGCTGGGGTGGCATCCACCTTGGTGGCATCCGGGAAAGGCATCACCAGGTCAAAAATGTTGGACCATGATTGGGCCCACATGTTGCCTAGGAAGCACAGGAGGACAACGTATGGCAGGAGAGACACAGGGAGAGAAGAGCAAAGGCAACCTGTTACTCCCGACTCTTGCACAGAGTGGATCACCCTGCCTGGTTCCTGCCCTGCCTGCACAAGGGTGATGCAAGCAGGAGCCCATCCATGCAGGAGAGGTCAAGCTGTGCTGAGTGTATTGCCCTTCCCTGGGGCAGACTAGCTTCTGCAGCCCCATCTCATGGGGCCTTGGCCCTTTGGCCAGAGCCAAACAGAGACCACCCTCAACTCTTGGCATGACTTGGAGCAAACTATAACTGGTGGGAGACATGGTTCTGCTTGAGGGCCTAGCAAAGCCCTTACCTAGCAGGTGAGCAGGGATGGGACCCTTCAGGTTTATGTGCTCTGCACCATACTTTTTGTATAGGGCTCGGCGTACGTAAGCATGCAGGTTGAAGTACAGGGGCTGCAGCTGCAGGTACAGCCTCTCCAGATCTTCCTCGAAGGTGGGTGTCTCGTTTTTTTAATAGAAGCTGTTAGACACTGTCCTTCTTGGGCAAGAGTCTGTCTTGCTGCTCAGACACCCCAGGTCCCTCTCTATCTATGTGGCAGTGGATCTCACGGGAGTTGGTGGGACCTCCACACCCTCAAGATTTTAGGCCTGAGATGGATGATCAGCCCAATCCTCTGCTTATAGGGTGCGAAGACCCTGGTGGGTCTCTAAGGGAGCAGGACACTGACCATTGAGCACAGCTGCCTTGTTGCTCAGTTCCACGTATCGCTTGTAGTTGTTCTTGATCTTCTTCCCAGAAGCATCCCGCCAGCCCTTCCAGGCAAAGAGGAGCTCATCATAGTCCCGTGAGGTGGCCATGATATCTGTGAGGTCTGAAGAGAAAGCAATGAAGCCAAAGTGATGCTGTTGGATGGGCTGCACTGATGCAATGGTGCTAGACCCAATGTGCTGCTCAGGGGCCATCACAGAGAAGGCGGGAAGGCCCCTTCATGACTTTTCTCCATGTCCCTATTAAAAATCCCTCCTTTCTGGGCCTGTTGCAGATGACTCACTGGACACCCTGCCAGATCTTACCAGGATCCAGGGGGTGACAGGTTTTGTTCTCTCTGCAGACCTTGGCTACACTGTACGTGGTCTCCATATCTGAGAGGAGGGTGTTGTACTGCAAAGAAAATCAGATTATGTGAGCTGGTTATCCTTGCTTCTGCTCTTGGAGAATGTCACAGCCCAGGTGTTTTCCTCTGGTCCCTTCCAAGGCCAAGTGTGACCCCAAATGGAGGCGAAGTGGAGTCAACACAGGAGGGACTAGGGCCAGTAAGCAATGTGCCATTGCCACCAAAGTAGCCAGGCCCCAGTGCAGCCTGTGATAGGCAACCTTTGGGTGGGAAATCCTGGAGACAAAGATCACAGCTTTGTGTAGAAGGTACCAAACTATCACCTTGTTCAAGGACAAGTGGTGGCTGCCCAGTGGCATTTCCTAAAAGTTGGGAGAAGCCTGTGTCTCCACCAAGGTAGTGGCAAGGGACACCCTGTGCTGCTCTGTCCCCTTGCAGCTCACCTCCTTCAGCTCATTCTCAGGCAGGGCTGCCCTCTCAATGACACTCAGCTTCTTGAGGATGCGTGTGACACTTTGGTCCTGGAAGTCGGAGGTGTCGAACTGCCTGGCCCTCATGCCATACTCAAGGGTGTGCTTGGACATGGCCAAGTTCTTCTCCAACTGCAACGGCAGGAGGGGACAGAAGAGGAGTTACTTCAAGGAGATCCCTGAGATGCAGGCCATTACTAGAAACATCACCTGGCGTGCCATGACTGACAACCTCCCCACAGCTGCCCTTGTGGGTACCTTGTGGCATGATGAGGGTTTTCATGGAAAAGGCACCTCCTGGGTGAGAACATTAGCCCTCGGCTAGGGGCAGAGACTGCCCTGGTTTTCAGACCTCATCTGAAACAAGCCTTGGGTACCAGCTGCCTGCCTTGGCTGTTGTCTCTCCCCGCACAGCCCCAAGGTCATTTCCATACCATGATCTCCTTGTTGTGGTCCGTGATGTTGGTATTGTAGGCCCAGGATGCCTCAGTGTAGGCGTTCCACACTGCCTCAGCCGTGCTGTTGTACTCGGACAAGAACTCTTTAGCTTGTGCTTCATCTGCTATCTTGTCTAGAGGACATAAATGGGGGAAGAGAAGGGGAGTCAGGAGAGTCCTTCTCTTTACAAGAGCACCACTCCACAGAGAAGCCATGGTTGAGGTTTTCCCATAACTACAGGTCCACTGAAGGATGCCACAACTTGGGAGCAGGTTGAGCCAAGAAATGGGGGTGAAGGGGTCCTGCTGGGGGTGTTCCATTGGACAGGGGAAGAGATAACAGGACACGTTGCATGCCCTAGACCCTCCCAGGCAGAAAGGATGCAGCCGAAAACAGATGACCTGCTACACCATGACTGATGGCATCACTACAGTGGCAGGGCCACAGCTTCAGACAATGGTATGTCAAGAGATTGGCTAATGGTACCTGCTTCCTTGGAAGCAACACTCTGTGGGACTCCATGTGGAGATGGTTATTTCTCTTTCCTGGCATGGAGACCTCCCCCACCCACAGCACAGACCTCCCTCAGCACTGTCCTGCCTGGGGGTTAGTGATGTCCCTTGGGAGACCTCTTCCCGCCCCTTCCCAGATCCAGGATGGAGCTGCAGCCTTACCAATGCCTTCAGGGTAGCCTTCAGGGATAGGGGGACGCCAGTCAAACTCAGGCCAGCCCAGCACCTCATTGGTCTTGTTGTTCTGCTCCTGAAGCCACTGGGTGACAGGGCTGAAGTACTCCAGGAGGGCCCCAGCGTCCATCCTATTCGTGCCGGTGAGGTTGAACAGGATATCCTGCCATGGCTTGGAACACCCAGCTTTCAACACTTCCCTGCAGAGAAGAGGGACAGCAAGAGCCAGCATGAGGCCAGAGGAGGGATGGGAGAAAAGTGGTGAAGGTATCTCAGCATCACAAGGGTTGAAGATGCTATTCCTGAGTGGGACATGAACCTCAGAACTGCCTCGGAAGCCTCTATCTGTCCTGCATATGGGAATGAGGACTCCCCACCACATCCTCATGCATTTGTTAACACCCAGGGAGTCAATAGGAACCGAATGTGCTTTAGTGACCTCTTGTCTGGGTGGGAGCTCAAGACGGGGACAATAGCAGTACTCTGGTGAGGACCACTCACCCCACCCCAGTGCTTCCATGTGTTTCCACCCATCCATCTACCCATCCATCCATCCATCCATCCATCTGCAAGGCTATTTCTCCAGCCACTTTTCTTTCCTTCCTTTCTTCTTTCCTTCCTTTGCACACCATCAGCTTCCACGCACACTTCTGCCTGTCGTGATTGTCCCAACCTTTCTCTGTCCCCACCTGAGTTTGGCTCCAGCCTCTTTGGACATGTAGATGTCACAGGTGTGCAGGGGACCGGTGTGGTTGGCCGCTTGGCACAATGCCTTGTGAAACTGGAACTGGAGGATGAAGCTCACAAAGTACCTGCCAAGAAAGCCCATGAAGGTGAGCGCTGGGGACAAAGGGAAGCAGACAAGTCCTAGGGTGTGGGGGAAGGCACCCAGCCACATGTCAGCTCCCCACCATTTTTGCTCCCAAGTGTTGGATAGTCTCTGTGTCTTGAGCAGGAGCAATGCATCCCAGTCCCTGCCCACAGAGCTGAGCCCCCACTTGCCCTGCTCCCCAAGCCTCCGTCTCCTTGTCAGCACCTCCTCTACCTGATGTATGGGGTGTTCCCAGGGATGTGGTACTTTGCTCCAGGGTCAAAGTTGCTTTCATTCCTCGAAACCGGAGCACAGATACCCTGGTATTTGGTTCTGCAGACAACAGAGAACAAAGAGGGAGGCAGATGAACCAAGGCAGGGAATGGGAAGGGAAGGCTTAAGAAATCTGGAAAATTAGAGTACGTTTCCATGTATTTCCATCCATCCATCCATCCACCCACCTATCCACCCACTCATTGACCCATTCATCCCACCCACCCACCCATCTATCCATCTTTCTCCAGCCATCTCCATGGCTCCTTTTTCCTTTTTTGCTCCCTTTCTTCTTTCCTGTCTTCCTTCCTTGCAGCTCCCCATCTTCCACACCCTGATCCACCCCTGGTGACTGTCCCCTACCTCAGATACCACCAGTCGTAGTTGTAACGGTTCGGGGGCGTGTGGCCACTGAACACGTTCCAACGCCATTGGTCGATGAGGTAGCCGAAGGGCAGGAAGGCGATCTTCTCCAAGGCCATCTTCAGCAGATAGTTGATGTTGCTCTCTGCATGAAACAGAGCCTGAACCAGGTTGGGAAGGGGTCTGGCTGGACAGAACTATGGCCACAGACTTCTTGGGGGCACAAAGGTGAGCCGATTTGGATGAGAAATGGGGACAGCATTTCAACATGTAATGTAGCTCCCTAGAGAAGGCTGTGTAGGACACAGGAGGTTTCTCTAGATACAGCTCCTACTTGGGGCAACATATGCCTTTTTACTGAGTGGGGACGATAGGAGTGACAAGCGCGGTGTCCCCTTGCCTTCAGCCTGACTCTCAGAGTGAGGTCTTTGGTGAGTGTAACTAATGGTGCCTTCTTCACACTTTCATCCTGGGGCCTCAGGGTGAAGGGGGTTTGATCTGCAGAGCCATCACGCCACTGCAAAGGCTCTCATGGTTTAGGCCCAGAAGTGGAGTCAACTCTAGGACAGTCACTGCCACATAATGAGGAGCACAGGGGATGGTGACATCTGCTTTCCCCATTGCCTCAAGGAAACCCAGGGAAGGAAGGTTGGAGAAGGACCTGCTGGAGACCCAGCTGAAGCTGTGGGGTCAGAGAGGGGTTGGCAGCACTGCCTCGAGGGGCTACTGGCTGCCATCAGTATGGTGGCGTGGCTGCCAAGGGCTGGTTAGTCGGGCAGCGATGCCTTGAGGCAGGGACCATCTGCTCCGTGGTGTTTATGCAACATCGGCCTAACGCTCTTGGCTGCTGTGATGGCTTCCTGGTCATGAAACATATTTAATGACAAGGCAGGAGGATCCCGGGACTGTCCCTCCTCCACAAAGTGGCCGCCTGCGGCAGGAATTTGCAAACGCTTGGTTTCCTCTGCCGCCGTCTGCTTTGACGTGTCAGCTGAGAGACGTTGGGGCGGGTGAGAGACTCTGCCAAGCCTGG